AGGGGAAAGGGGTCTCACTAGAAACCAATCCCGCTGGCACGTTGGTGTTGGACTTCCAGCCTCTGGAACTGTGAGAAAATACATTTGTGTTGTTTAAGACACCCTGACCCTGTGCTTTGTTATGGCAGTCCAAGCAGATGAGTACAGCCTCTTTGTGCCCCAGTTCTTCTGGTTATTTTATGGAAGTGTTATCTCTGGCTAGAAAGTCTTACCTAAGGTCTTCTTTCAATTCAGGCAGTGGAGATCTGGTTAGAGTTGAAGAGAGCTTTAAAAAAAAATCAAACAACCCCATCAAAAAGTGGGCAAAGGATATGAACAGACACTTCTCAAAAGACGACATTCATACAGCCAACAGACACATGAAAAAATTCTCATCATCACTCACCATCAGAGAAATGCAAATCAAAACCACAATGAGATACCATCTCACACCAGTTAGAATGGCAATCATTCAAAAATCAGGAAACAACAGGTGCTGGAGAGGATGTGGTGCTGTCCAAACAACAGGTGCTGGATAGGAGCACTTTTACACTGTTGGTGGGACTGTAAACTAGTTCAACCATTGTGGAAAACAGTGTGGTGATTCCTCAAGGATATAGAACTAGAAATACCATTTGACCCAGCCATCCCATTACTGGGGATATATCCAAGGATTATAAGTCAGGCTGCTATAAAGACACATGCACACGTATGTTTATTGCGGCACTATTCACAAGAGCAAAGACTTGAAATCAACTGAAATGTCCATCAGTGACAGACTGGATTAAGAAAATGTGGCACATATACACCATGGAATACTATGCAGCCATAAAAAAGGATGAGTTCGTGTCCTTTGTAGGGACATGGATGCAGCTGGAAACCATCATTGTCAGCAAACTATCACAAGAACAGAAAACCAAATACCACATGTTCTCACTCATAAGTGGGAATTGAACAAGAGATCACTTGGACACAGGAAGGGGAGCATCACACACCGGGTCCTATTGTGGGGAGGAGGTAGGGGAGAGGGATAGCATTAGGAGATATACCTAATGTAAATGACGAGTTAATGGGTGCAGCACACCAACATGGCACATGTATACATATGTAACAAACCTGCACGTTGTGCACACGTACCCTAGAACTTAAAGTATAATAATAAAAAACAAAAAAAACACAAAGAGAATTAGCATTCATGGCACTCAGGGAGGTAATTGATTTCTTTTCAGTTAAAACACTTTAAATTGCAAATTTCTTCCAAATCTTAATAAACATTTTTTCCAGTGTTTTCAAGACTCAATATCAGAGAATTAATGGGGACTGAATTGCTTCTTTTCTTTTCTTTTCTTTTCTTTTCTTTTCTTTTCTTTTTTTCTTGAAACAGAGTCTTGCTCTGTCGCCTAGGCTGGAGTGCAGTGGAGCGATCTTGGCTTGCTGCAACCTCCGCCTCCCGGGTTCAAGCGATTCTCCTGCCTCAGCCTCTGAGCGGCTGGGACTACGGTGGGCGCCACCACACCTGGCTAATTTTTGTATTTTCAGTAGAGACGGGTTTTCACCATGTTGGCCAGGATGGTCTTGATCTGTTGACCTTGTCATTCGCCTGCCTCGGCCTCCCAAAAGTGCTGGGATTACAGGCCTGAACGATCGTGCCTGACCTGAATTGTTTCTAAAGGTAAACCTCCACAAACAAACCCATTGATTCTCAGGGCAAAAAAGGAGAGGGAGACACATCTATGCACGAGGCCTAAGTGGGAAAGAGAAGATCCATCAGGAAGAGAAAATGGGAGGAAAGACCCAGCTCCTCATTCTGGCAATTCAGAGTCTGTAGCCCATATTTCTTGGCACCTTAGACAAGACCATGAGATTTTCTCAGGTAGAAGGGGCTGTTCACTTTGGTGTGGAATCCTGTAGTAGTTTGGTGAGAAAGTTCCTATACATTCTTTGTTTTTTTTTAGAGACACAATCTCGCTCTGTTGCCCAGGCTGGAGTGCAGTGGAGCGACCATAGCTTACTGTAGACTCCAACTCCTGGGCTCAAGCAATCCTCCTACCTCAGCCTCCTGACTGAGACGACATGTACGCACCACTACACCCACCTCATTTTTGTAGTTTTTGTAGAGATGGAGTCTCACTATGTTGCCCAGGCTGGCCTCTAACCCCTGGCCTCAAGTGGTCCTCCCACCTTGGCCTCCCAAAGTGTTGGAATTGCAGGCATTAGCCACCATGCCCAGCCTATATTTGTCGCAACAGCTGGAATAACCTCCAGATCAGATCACTTGCTATCCTGTTCAAAACTCTTCCAATGGCATTTCATCACATCTGAAATGAAATCCATGAGTTTCTAATGGCCAGTAAAGCCAATAGGTCTGGGCCCTGAGCATCACCCTGAAATAATCTCCTACCACCCTGCTTCCCTCTCACTCTGTCCCAGCTACACTGGCTTCTTTGTGCTCTTTGAACACACAGAGCTGACACCAAGCCCAGGGCCTTTGCATGTTCTCTTCTGTCCGCCAAGAGTGCTCTTTCTTCCAAACTTTGTTTCTTTTGCTCCCTCAAAGCCCTGCTAACATGTTACTTCCTCAGAGAGGTCTTCCCTGACCCCTCAGTCTAAGCCATCTTGCCTCCTACACATCCCTTCGTTGTTAGCATTTAGGTTATAGAGTCATTTGATTATTTCTTTATGATCTGTCTTCCACTACAATGTAAGGTCTGTGAGAACAGGAATTTGGTAGTGTATGTGGGATGAATGAATGAACAGGCCAGCCTGCCAAGAACAGAGTGGGAGGGGTTTGTGAGGGTATGAAGAATGCAACCGTATGCCTCTTTCTGCTAAGAATTAGGCCGGGCTCCGTGGCTCACACCTGGAATCCCAGTACTTTGGGAGGCTGAGGCGGGTGGATCCCTTGAGGTCAGGAGTTCAAGACCAGCTTGGACAATATGGCAAAACCCCGTCTCTACTAAAAAGATGAAAATTGCCTGAGCATGGTGGTGCATGCCTGTAATCCCAGCTACTTGCGAGGCTGATGTGGAAGGATCGCTTGAACCCTGGAGGCAGAGGCTGCAGTGAGCCGAGACCACGCCACTGCACTCCAGCCTGGGCGACAGAGTGAGACTTCATCTAAAAAAAAATAATAATACTAATTGCTACTACTTCATCCTGTCCATCCCATGTCCCTAAAAACTTCAGCATAAGTGCGCTCCACACACGAGGAGAGAACAAACCCTCCCACTGGCCTTGGGCCCATCCCTCTTTCTCCCACACTGCCTCTTTTGAGTTATCTCATTTTGCTCCCAATAGCCAGCTTTGACTTTTCTGGGCTTATCTGGGCATCAGGGATCCATGTTGTACATTCAGTTGCCCTGATTATGTCTGCCTTAGAGCGTCTCCTAGGGCAGCCAGTATAGAACAGTCACCTAAGGGCCTGGAGCTTCTGCAGTCTGCCACTCGCTCCTTCTGCCTGATAACAAATACTATTCCTTTTATCCTTGCAACTTGACCCAGAAAGAGGTGGCTGTCAATGTTCAAGGGCCCTGGAAAGGAAGACGGGAAATGTGAAACCACTGGGCACATGGGAATGGGTGGGTCTGAGAGTCTGAAATGCGCCTTCCAGATCATTCTCATTGAAAAATTCAGAATGACCTTCCCTCCCCAAGCCAAGAAAGGATAAACACTCACACCTCCTTACCTTCTTACATTCTCATTTCTAAGATAAAATATAATGCGTTAAGAATCTGTAAGTTACCTCATTTAATTGGCACTCTGCTTTATCAGATATGCACTATCATCACCCACTTACAGATGAGGAGATTGAGGCTGGGGGATGTGAAATCATTTATTTCAACTCACGTGGTTTGCGAGCAGTGGAGTCAGGATCCTAATGTAGATACTAACCAGTGTTATTTGGCATACCAATTTAAATCAGTTACTTACACTAACTTTAAAACAACATGAGCTTTATTAAGGCAAATTTATATATCATAAAATTCACCCATTTAAGTGTACAATTCGATAATTTTAGTAAGTTTGCAGAGTTGTGCAACCATTACCACAATCCAGTTTTAGAACATTTCCACTACCCCAAAATGTTTCCTCATGTCCATTTTCGGTTCATACCCACTCCTACCCCCAGCTCTAGGCAACCGCTGATCTACTTTCTGTCTCTATAAATTTGCTGTTTATAGAGAAATGAAATCATCCTGCATGATATTTTACTACAAGCTGCATTTGTTTTGTGAAGACTGCTCAGCTCAGTTCTCAACGTTCAGTTCAGAGGTGTGGATTGGCTTAGCACAAGGAGGAAGGTATTGTAACTCCATTTCTGCAAGATGTCTAGAGGGAAAGTTTTTATCTTTTTTTTTAAGGAGAATCTGTATTATTTTAATTATTTTTATGTGCAGAAAACTCAACAGCACACATTTAACCCAATTTGGTGGCAAGTTCTTTAGCTTTTGGCTGTTTCACCTTGGCAATGAGAGCCACACACTTGGGAGCCAGGACATTGACTCCCCGGTGATGACGGATCTCATCGTATCTGCCATTCTAATTGGTTCTGATAGCTTCCTCCAGCTAAGCCAAAGTTTCTTTGTCTTTCAAGTTAGCCTGTGTGGTGACAGTGGTGCAGGTCTTCCCATGGACTAGACATCCCAGTCTTACCTTCCCCTTGATAATGCAGTCAGGGACCTTTATTTTACAACACAGAGAAATGCACTATCATCACCCACTTTCTTTCATTTATTTTTATTTATTTATTTATTTATTTATTTATTTTGAGACGGAGTCTCACTCTGTCGCCCAGGCTGAAGTGCAGTGGCCCGATCTTGGCTCACTGCAAGCTCCGCCTCCCAGGTTCATGCCATTCTCCTGTCTCAGCCTCCCGAGTAGCTGGGACTACAGGCACCCGCCACCACACTGCTTAGTTTTTTTGTATTTTCAGTAGAGACGGGGTTTCACCATGTTAGCCAGGATGGTCTCGATCTCCTGACCTGGTGATCCGCCCGCCTCGGCCTCCCAAAGTACTGGGATTACAGGCGTGAGTCACCACGCCTGGCCTATCATCATCCATTTTCCAGATGAGGAGGCTGAGGCTGGGAGCAGGCAGAAGACAACTAGCTTGATGGGATCCACATCACGTCCAGTCACCACCAGCTGAGACTTCTTGTTCTCCACTAAGGTGGCTACAGTGATAATTCCTGCTTGAAGGACAGGTGGTCTCTTGGTGGGGACGTCCCCTTTGCTGGCAGCTTTCTTCTCAGCCCAGGCCAGCAGCCTCTGCTTCTTCTCTTGCTTTGTCTCTGGTCTGTACTAGTGGACCAGCTTATGTACTATAATTGAGTAGCTGTTTTGGGGTCCAAGGCCTGGGTGAACTGGTTCATCACAGGAAGCACCTTCAGCCATGTGTAGAGGATGGCTCTTTGCCACTGCAACCTGATAAAGCGGGGCCATTTGACAAAGCAAGTGAGGTCCCTTTTGGGTTGGGTGTGCTGTCCAATACCAAGATTCTTAGGCCTTTTCTCCAACACGGGATTCACCACTTTCCTGGCCTCCTGCTTCTTTGCGACAGCAGCGGCTGGAGCCACCTTCTTCCCCTTGTCCTTCTTCCCTTCTGGCATCTTGGGCGGCAGGAGAAAAGAGAAAAAAAGTTTTTGTTTGATAAATATTCCAGGCTTCTGAGGACAGGGGCTCAGCACTACCTGGCTGAAAGCAGAAAATCAGGGTGGAGGTGATTGTAGGGTTGGGGAATCATACATGGTTTTTTTGTTGTTGTTGTTGTTGTTTTACTTCTTAAAATATTTGAAATAGTTGATTTTAATTCGTGGACTTAACTCCAAGTCATTTCAAGGATGACTCCATTTAAAATAAAATACAGCTGGGCACAGTGGCTCACGCCTATAAGCCCAGCACTTTGGGAGGCTGTGGCAGGCAGATCACCTGAGGTCCAGTGTTCAAGACAAGCCTGGCCAACAAATCCCATCTCTATCAAAAATACAAAAATTAGCCGGGTACAGTGGCTCATATCTGTAATCCCAGGACTTTGGGAGGCCAAGGCGGGTGGATTACAAGGTCAGGACAGCGAGACCACCCTGGCTAACACAGTGAAACCCCATCTCTACTAAAAATACAAAAAATTAGCTGGGCATGGTGGTGTGCACCTGTAATCCCACCTACTCAGAAGGCTGAGGCAGGAGAATCTCTTGAACCTGAGAGGCGGAGGTTGCAGTGAGCCAAGATCACACCATTGCACTCCAGCCTGGCCAACAAGAGCAAAACTCCGTCTCAAAAAAACCAATAAAAATAAATAAAATACAAATAACAAAATGAGGCCCTAAAGATCTAATTTTAAAATGTAATCTGGCTGGTCCGAAGGCAGTGAGTTATCTCATTTTTGTGTCTGGAATTGGTGGGTTCTTGGTCTCGCTGACTTCAAGAATGAAGCCGCAGACCCTTGTAGTGAGTGTTAGTTCCTAAAGATGGCGTGTCTGGAGTTGTTCGTCCCTCCTGGTGGGTTTGTGGTCTCGCTGGCTTCACAGTGAAGCTGCAGACGTTTGCGGTGAGTGTTACACCTCTTAAATGCAGTGCAGACGCAAAAAAGTGAGCAGCAGCAAGATTTATCATGAAAAGCAAAAGAACAAAGACTCCATACCACACACTGGAGCCAGTTTCCGCTGCTGGCTAGGGCAGCCTGCTTTTATTCCCTTATCTGCCCCCCCCCCCCATCCTGCTGATTGGTCCATTTTGCAGAGAGCTGATTGGTCCACTTTGACAGAGTGCTGATTGGTGCGATTATAATCCCTGAGCTAGACACAGAGTGCTGATTGGTGCATTTACAATCCTCTAGCTCGACATAAAAGTTCTCCAAGTCCCCACCAGACTCAGGACCCCAGCTGGCTTCGCCTAGTGGTTCGTGCTGTGGGGCCACAGGAGGAGCTGCCTGCCAGTCCTGTGCTGGATGCCTGCACTCCTAAGCCCTTGAGTGGTAGATGGGACTGGGTGCTGCGGAGCAGGAGGTGGTGCCCATTGGGTGGGCTTGGGCCGCACAGGAGCCCACCGTGGGTAGGGCAGGTGGCTCAAGCATGGCGGGCTGCAGGTCCCGAGCCCTGCCCCACGGGGAGGCGGCTGAGGCCTGGCGAGAATTCCAGCGCGGCCCATGCGGGCCTGCAGTGCTGGGGAATGGGGCCCACCCTCTGCAGCTGCTGGCCCAGGTGCTAAGCCCCTCACTCTCTGGGGCCGGTGGTGCTGGCAGGCCAGTGGGCCGGCCACTCCCAGTGCGGGGGCCCTCTGAGCCGGCGCCCACCCAGTGCTGGTGCTGGCCCGTGAGCGCCGGGCGCAAACCCGGCACCTCTCCCTCCACACCCAGCAGAGGGAGCCGGCTCTGGCCTCGGCCAGTCCAGAGAGGGGCTTCCACAGTGCAGCGGCGGGCCGAAGGGCTCCTCAAGCGCGGCCAGAGTGGACGCCAAGGCCGAGGAGGTGCCGAGAGCGAGTGAGGGCTGCTAGCACATTGTCATCTCTCACTTTGATTGTTCAGTCAGTTACAGATAAAACACCTTATTCTACTCTTTCTCTCCTTCTTACTACTACACTTGACTAATCTTTAAAAATAAAATTTGATAAAAATTTAAAAATTAAAATGTCATCTTAAGGGCAGCCCTGAAGTGATTCAGCTCATGTCTATCTGGTGGCTCCTTCCTGGAAGGGGAGGTGAGGAAGATGATACTCCTATTCCCTCCTCCAGACACCCACTCATTCCACTTACAGCCATGGGAGGTTTGGAATGTGTTTCTACTCCAAGCCTGGGTCCAGTGCAGTGACACTGGGGCTCTCACTCTCCTGGCTCTGGAGTCTCCATTATGCCTGAAGATGCCTTTCTCTGGGACAGTCAGAAGTTACTGCCCCAAACCAGAGTCAGTCCCCTTTCTTCTCTGTCTGATCACCATCCTTGTCCCTCTGAGAAAAATCGCTATTCTATCCAGAGAGAAAACAATAGCCCCTACTTCATGCTTCATGACCATGTGGTTCACTGCAGTCCCTTCATACCCATTTCTCTCCTTGGCAGGAAGAAATTCTTTTCAAAGCTGGGGAGGTAGTGCACAGACTCCTTGAAGAGGTCCCAGGGAAAGGGGATGTTCCCCTCTCCTTTCCCCACAGATCACTCACTGGGACTGTCTTTTCTGTACTGAGACAGACCTGAAAACAAGCCAGTTTTAGATTTTCTTCACAAGTTTCTGTAGGTGCAAAGGCTCGGGCAGAATGACTAGAAGACAAGTCCTCATTAATAATAATAATAGCTGACATTTATTAACCTGTACTATATGCTATACTCTGAATGTTTTATCTGCTTTTTGTCTTATCCAGTACTCAGAATAACTCTATATTAGGCTCACTTTACAAAAATTTAGCAGTTTGTTATAGAACGGAAATTATGCAGAATTATTAAATTATTGGTGCCACAGACATTTTACTGTATCTGTATTATTAGTACAGAAATTAGTATTAAGGCACAGAAATTATTAGTACAAAGATGATATCAGTACTATTATTATAATATAGAAATTACTAGTACAGGGTAGGCATGGTGGCTCATGGCTGTAATCCTATAACTGTGGGAGGCCGAGGCAGCGGATCACAAGGTCAGGAGAACGAGACCAACCTGGCCAACGTGGTGAAATCCCGTCTCTACTAAAAATACGAAATTAGTCGCGCATGGTGGTACATGCCTGTAATCCCAGCTACCTGAGAGGCTGAGGCAGGAGAATAGCTGGAACCCGGCAGGTGGAGGTTGCAGTGAATCGAGATTGCACCATTGCACTCCAGCCGGGGCAGCAAGAGCAAAACTCCATATCCAAAAAAAAAGAAGAACTTACTAGTACAGAAGAAAGTGTCAGTACTACTATTAGCCCCTATTTGCAGAAAACTGAGGCTTGAAGAGGTGAAGCTAACTTATCCAAGGTTACAGAGTTAGTGAGTAAAGCTAACTGAATTCAGTCCACACAAATAACTTAGCTCTTAACCTTAAGTAAAGCTTACCCTCCTCTGTGCCTCCCACACTCACCCCTGGCTTCTTCCTGGGCAGGAATGAGTGAGGCCAGAAGGAGTATATGAGCTGTGGACTACAAGAAAAAAACCCACAGTGACTGAAGGAGAAGGAACTCCTAGTCCTTCCTGGTGACCCAGAGCCAACAGGAAAATGGGTTACTCATTAACCAGAGAAAAGTCCCACATCCTGTGTTTGAAAGAAACATTTTAAAAGTTAGAAAATGCGTTTGAACAATGTTGTATTTAAACCAAGCTCAAGCAACAGATGTTTCTTTTCCTTTCTTTGATACAGTGTCTCGCTTTGTTGGCTCTGTAGCCCAGGCTGTAGCTCAATGGCTGATCTCGGCTTACCGATCTTGGCTGAACTCTGCCTCCTGAGTTCAAGCGATTCTCCTGCCTTAGCCTCCTGAGTAGCTGGGATTACAGGCATGCGCCACCACATCCAGTTAATCTTTGTATTTTTAGTAGAGACGGGGTTTCACCATGTTGGCCAGGCTGGTCTCGAACTCCTGGCCTCAAGTGGTCCTTTTGCCTCGGCCTCCCAAAGTGCTGGGATTACAGAGGTGAGCCACCACGCCAGGCCCAGATGTTTCTTTAGTATAGGTTTTACACCAGGCTTTTCATTCGGCTTTTGAACATTATGTTGAAGTATATTAGATTTTATAATTACTTTATTCTAAGATCTTGCCCTGTGAATGAGTCCAAACATCATAACCCACAGATCAGGGAGGGTGAGGACAACGCACAGAGCACAGGCTGGGATTTGCTTTGGGAACAGTCGTTGGGGCAGAGGATGCCTGCTAGAGGGAAGGGCTCTCTCTTACGTATGGTTGCTGGGAGCCCAGGACTGGACTCAGAGGAGAAGCAAGATGAGTATCAGTCCATAGCAGAAACAAAGAGGTATATATGTATCTTCCAATAGAGACCACTGAGGTTCCCACAAGAAAAGTTGACAAATAGTTCAGCTGGAAACATGAAGAGGGGAAGGAAATTACTCAGAGTATTGATCAGAGTGTATCTAGTAGCCCTCAAACACAACAAACTAAGCACAGCTGCACCCGCTTCTCCTCCAGAGCAGGGAAAAGACAAAAGTTTCAGAAACTTTCCATCCTCTCACCCTCATAGGTGTGAAATCATCTCCCTCCACCAGAAGGAAGAAAATAATTTAATTGGCCAGGTGCAGTGGCTCACGCCTGTAATCCCAGCACTTTGGGAGGCCGAGACGAAAGGATTGCTTAAGGCCAGGAGTTTGAGACCAGCCTGGCCAATGTGGTGAAACCCCATCTCTACTAAAAATACAAAAATTAGCCGGGCATGGCAGGCACCTGTAGTCCCAGCTGAGTCTGGGGGCTGAAGCAGGAGAGTCCCTTGAACGCAGGAGATGGAGGCTGCAGTGAGCCGAGAATGCACGACAGCAATCCGTCTCAACAACAAAAATACTTTAATCTTTATTTGTCTTAGGTGAGTGCCCCGGGGTGGAACCTGCTGCAGCCTTTACTTGAGTGGGCAGAAAAACAAACAACCAAAAAAAAAAACAAAACAAAAAAACAAAACGGGGGATGAGAGGCTATTACAGTTAAAAGGAAGGGGGAGAATGGGATAGAGTGAGGTGGGAGGGGCAGAGGGGAGAGGCCCCAAGGAGGGCTTGGATTTTGGGGGCTGTTGGCCCAGATCTGCATGTGGGTCCAGCTTCTCTGTTCCTCTGAGTGGGGAGATTGTGCTGTAGAGACAGTCCAGCATAGTGGACCGGGGGCTGGGACTCCTAAGATGGTGCAGTAAGGTTGCAAGTTTGGGGCAGTTTAGCGTTTATGATGGCACAGGAGGTCCGGGAGTTTTGTTGGGGAGAGAGAAGACTTGTGAAACAGAAAAGACTTGCTATAAAGCAGTTATTCATGAAGGAGAAGATTTCTTCAGTCAGAATTTATGTTGCTACCCTGCACGCTGGTTTTTGGATTAATCAAAAGACAGTTCCAAAGAACAGTGTTACAAGCCGGGTGCGGTGGCTCATGTCTGTAATCCCAACACTTTGGGAGACTGAGGCTCGTGGATCTCTTGAGCCCAGGAGTTTAAGACTAGCCTAGACAACATGGCAAAACCCTCTCTCTACAAAAATACAAAAATTTGCTGGGTGTGGTGGTATGCGTCTATAGTCCCAGCTATTTGGGAGGTTGAGGTGGGAGAATCGCTTGAGTACAGGAGGTTGAGGCTGCAGTGAACTGTGATTGCACCATTGCACTCCAGCCTGGGTGACGCTGTCTTGGAAAAAAAATTTTTTAAAAAAGGTGTTACAGGCCGGGCGCGGTGGCTCACGCCTGTAATCCCAGCACTTTGGGAGGCCGAGGCGGGCGGATCACAAGGTCAGGAGATCGAGACCACGGTGAAACCCCGTCTCTACTGAAAATACAAAAAAATTAGCCGGGCGCGGTTGTGGGCGCCTGTAGTCCCAGCTACTCGGGAGGCTGAGGCAGGAGAATGGCGTGAACCCGGGAGGCGGAGCTTGCAGTGAGCCGAGATCGCGCCACTGCACTCCAGCCTGGGCGACAGAGCGAGACTCCGTCTCAAAAAAAAAAAAAAAAAAAAAAAAAAAAAAAAAAAAAAAAGGTGTTACAGCGGGTCCCTGCCTAGACTGTCTCTGCTGCCATCTGCTATGGAGTGGCCGGAGGGAAACTGGGCATCAGTGTAGGAAGGCAGACTGTTTCCTCAGGCCTTTCTGGACTTTCCACTGTTGACATTAAAATGAGCCTTGAACTGGTTGAGAAAGTTCCTCCCTGAGCCCCTTTTCAAGGGGAAATAAATCAATCAAAAAATAAAAAGTAAGAAAAACTAAACACATGTACCTTGCGTTGTAAACATGCTACCTTAAGTGAATGTGCAGATCAAGAGAGAGAAACCAGAGTTTTACAGTTTTGTTATATGTGCAGCTCCCTTGGGAGCAACAGCACTCCACGCAAGGCCACTCGGGTGAAGCCCCGGGTCAGTCACGTGGCAAAGGGGGCGAGGGGGTGGCTGTGGAAATGCACCTTTCTTGTGGTCTCTGTGGGAGGCGGGGGAACATGGCTTACTACTGGCTAATTTGAATAATTTCACTGGGCTCTGGGACACAGGGGCTGTCCCTCGTTGTCTGGCACCTGGCCCAGGGCAGTTAGGGTGGGTGTGTAGTGTCCCAGAGTGTGAGGGCCCAGTCAGGGAGGTGGTTGAGGTGCGGACGTAACTGGCCGCCCAAGAAGAGGAACCGACCATCTCCAGCCAGGGCCTCAAAACTGGTTGGACAGTATTAAATACACACACACACACACACACACACACACACACACACACAACCACACACCCTGTGAACTGAGGAATTAATAGCTAATTTTCTTATTTTAGGGGACATAATCTTGGGAAAATAGAAAAGTCTCTGTACTTAAGCCTAAATTTGCAAACAGAGTTCTAAGCCATTATCTGCTATTCCTTATTGTAGCATGCAAGAGCTCTTGTTTTGGCCAGGCATGGTGGCTCATGCATGCAATCCCAGCACTTTGCAAAGCAGTGGTGGGAGGATAGCTTGAGGCCAGAGTTTGAGACCAGCCTGGGCAGCATAGTGAGACCCCTGTCTCTAAAAAAAAAAAAAGAGTTCCTGTTTAAGCGATTGGTAGATGGCTGTTTTCATTTCCTCAGCAAACCTATTTGCTTGGGAAGCCACAGCCCACAGCTTCCTCCCAGGTGTTCTTAATCATCCTTGAGAAGGGAAAGATGAGGGTCAGGCTGCTATGAGGCTCTGGCAAGTAGAATGGTGGCTCTCCCAAAGACGTCCACATTCTAATTCTTTTTCATTTTTTGGAGACAGAGTCTCACTCTGTCACCCAGGCTGGAGTGCAGTGGCGTGATCTCGGCTCACTGCAACCTCCATCTCCCACGTTCAGGGGATTCTCCTCCAGCCTCCTGAGTAGCTGGGATTACCATCATGCCCAGTTAATTTTTGTATTTTTAGCAAAGACAGGGTTTCACCATGTTGGCCAGGCTTGTCTCGAGCTCCTGGCCTCAAGTGATCCCCCTGCCTTCCCGCCTTGGCCTCCCAAAGTGCTGGGATTATAGGTGTGAGCCACCACCCCGACCCACATTCTAATTCTTGAAACTAGTGAATATGCTACTGTAGGAGAGGAAACACTTCCCCTCCACTCTCTGAGGGTTTCATAGCTGAGCCCATGAAATGAACTGACAACAGGCAGATTAACAGGAGAAAAGTTATACAAATGTATTATGTGCACGGGGCATCACAGGAAAGAAAAGGGAATCCCCCCAAACCAGAGGGATTTAGGAGCTTGTATGCCCTCTTCATAGGGGAGAGGGGAGGATGTATGCAGGCAATTTAGGAGAGAGTAAGTGATTTTGGAATAAAAACGAATGGGCCCTTCTCTGGGTGTGGTGTTGGCTTCTTGTTTTCTCTCCTGTGATGAGTTAATCTTCCCTGGCTGATGAA